TTTTGTGATTTTTTTTTTCCTCACAAAATACTTCACAAAGGCAACTGAAGGAAGTGAATACTGTCATCGTGTCAGGAAAGGCATGACAAGAGTTCAAGGGGGTTTGTTACATTGCATCTGCGATTAGAGAGTGAAGAGAGATGAAGGCCGGCGCTCAGCTTGCGTCTGCCTTTTCATCAAGACCAAGACCCCAGGCTGTCACGTGGTGCTGCTCACACCCAGTGCGTGCCCCCTTAGCTCATCAAGTCTACAGACTCCCTCACAGACACACCTAGGTTTCTTCTCCCAGGTGACTCTAGACCCTGTCAAGTGGACAATCAGTATTAACCACCACACAGCCCAAGAGCTCTGAAGAAGCAGAAAGCAAAGAGGAGTCTCTCGGACTTTTGAACCCAGCTACCCTGGGGGCAGCTCCCCATCTTCCTGTGACCTTCCAAGAAGAAAAAGAACTAATTTGATGAGAATAGTTGGGCGTGTATTAAAAGGTGATACACAGACACCCATCCTCCTACTCTCAGGTGATTTGTACAATTGGATCATCTTCCATTATTACAGCATGAGCTAAAGATTTAGATGGTGGGAAGTTTAGGGACAAATGTCTGGGGACTGCCATGCAAAGGAGTGTCACACAGTCCTCAGGAAGGGTATAAGCCCAACCCTTTCCTGATCAGAAACCCATTCAGCAAGCATCTGGGGATTCCTGGAAACAGCCACCCTGTGCTAATGAGATGTCTTGGTGTCTTGGCTTTCAACCAATGACTTTTAACCGTATCTGGAGTTCTTCCCCACCCACTGGATAATTAAGTACACTCCTTAGAATATCAGGAGTTCCCTAGATCAGGCAGAGAGGGAACCCAGCTCAGAAAGGGAGTCCATCATCTTATACCAAGCTCAAAGGCTATCCAGAAATGCCAGACTTCGACCTCAGCAGCAGAATCCCACAGAACACCTGTTGCTCTTGCAGAGAATTGGGGTTTGATTCCCAGCATCCACACAGCGCCACACAATCATCCATACCTCCAGTTCCAGAGGGTCTGGTGTCCTCTTCTGGCCTCCTGCGCCCAAAGAATGCATGTGGTGCACATACAGCCATGCAGAAAAAACCTTTACAAACACAAACTACATCTAAAAAAAATAAAAAGAAAAAAGAAAAACAAATGTGTCAAGACAGACTTTCGATAACAGGTGGTAGTTAACTTCACGATTACTAAACTTGAAGCTACAACGATCACCTTCCCAGCTGAGCTTGACCAAGCCCGACAAATATTTCCTCGGGAAAAATGGATGCAGCATCATGGCAGGTGCCCTAGCAGATGCAAAGCTTCCCCTCTAAGATGACCCCAGGTTAGAAGAAAACGCCTTGTCTACACTTACCATGACCATCAGACACGGGACAGTGTCTCAAGAAGAAGACCAGGGCGAGACCTGGGCGAGACCTGGGCCCATGAGCCATTCCCACCAAAACCAACCTTACTGTCATCCGCGCCTGTCTGGAGTAGGAAGGGCAGTGCCACAGACTCTTAGGACTCGTGATGTGGTTAGTGATTTCAGCGCCAACCGGAAGACGCACTGTGTTAGAAATTATGAGCTAGAAAGGGTCATGTTAGACTGGACTTTCTAAAGAGAACCATTGTTGGTAGTGGTGGTTTTTCTGAAACAGGGTCTCTCTAGGTAGCTCTGGCTGTCCTGGAACTTGATATGTAGACCAGGCTGGCCTCAAACTCTTGGCTCTAAAGAGAACTTTTTGTTGGCTAAATCTCCAAGGGTAGCTAGCATCTGAGTAGTTGGAGATGTGCAGAGGGCCCCAACCAGAGAAAGTGCTGTGATCAGAATCTGAATGACAGGAAAGCATGGGGGCCACACAGGGAATTAGGACCAATCCAGTAAGAAAGTAAGGAAGTCAAGGTAAGTTGGGGGACCACCAACTGAATTGCTATTTGTTATTAGCCAAGTATTAGGGAGAGGGCATTTTTAAAGTTTAAATATAGTAGTGTTCCATAAAAATCCACCTTCGAAAGCTTGGCCTCAGTATGGCACTATGGAGGGCGTTAAAGACACTTAGAAGGTGAGAAATTCGTAGGCAATTGGGGTCATGTCCTTTGTCTTAGTCAGTGATCTCTTGCTGTGGAGAGACACCATGATTATGGCAACTCTTATAAAGGAAAACATTTAATTGGGGCTGGCTTACAGTTTTATTCTGTAGATTTAGTGTTTTGACTATGGCTTACAGTTTTAGAGGCTCAGTCCATTGTCATCATGTTGGGGAGCACAGCAGCAGGCAAGCAGACAGGATGCTTAGGCAGCAGGAAGAGAGCGACTCTGGGCTTAGAGTGGGATTTTTGAAACCTCAAAGCCACCCCCTTGACACACATTCTCCAACAAAGCCGCACTTTCTAATTCTTTCAAATAATGCCACTCTCCTGTGACCAAGAATTCAAATCTATGAGCCTACAGGGGCCATTCTGATTTAAACCACCACGTCCATGAAGAGGATTTGGGGACCCTGCTCTCCGCTTTTTTCTGTTGGCCTTCTAATTTGTGACATGAGTGGCTCCACGCTGTGACCTTGATGTGCCATCCTTGTCAGTGGTCCAAAACAATGAAGCCACTCAACCTTGGGCTGGAACCTCCAGAACCAAAAGCCAGAATCACCTTTTCTATGGCCTGAGGCCAGGGTTTGTCAGCCTCTGCGTCGTGCCCCCTTGTGTCAAATGCCATTTTCATAGGCGTCACACGCCAGGTATCCTGCACCTCAGGAGTTACATTATAATTCATAACAGTAGCAAGGTCACAGTTTTGAAATATCAATGAAATAATTGTATGGTTGGGGTTCACTGCAGTGTGGGGAAGGTTGAGAGCCACTGCCCTCGGCGGTTCATTTCAATAACAGACATTCTAGTTACCAGGAGAAATCACTGTGCTGGGGGAGGGTTGTAATAGGATTTTGAGAAGCCAAGAGACCTGAATCCTCCACATTACGGAGGACTGAAAAAGACAAGGCCAGGGATCTCTTTATTGTCACCAAAGTTCACTTTCTTCTACTTTATTAATATAATTCTTTGTTTGTTCAACACGGGGTTTCTCTGTGTAGTCCTGGCTCTCCTGGAACTCACTCTGTAGGCCAGGCTGGTTTCAACCTCAGAGACCCATTTGCCTCTGTCTTCTGAGTGCTGGGATGAAAGGCGTGCACCACCACAACCGGACAATTAAACTTTTTATTTTATTATTTTATGTGAATGAGTGTTCTGCCTGCATGTATGTGTGTTTACCAATATGCTTGCCTGGTGCCCACTGAGGTTGGAAGAAGGCATCAGATCCCCTAGAACTGGAGTAACAGCTGTGAGCTGCAGGTGTGCTGGAAATCCAACCTGGGTCCCTGTAAGAGCAACAAGCGCTCTTAACCTAGAAGCAATCTCTCCAGTCCTCCCCATTTTTTTTTTAACTTTTCTTTTATAACTCTGTATTGATTCTTTGTGGGTTTCACATCATGCACCCCAGTCCGGTTCATCTCCTGTGCCCTCATATCTGCCTTTTGCCCTTGCAAACTCCTTCCCAAATTAAAACAAACAACAACAAACCCCAAAGCATGGAAAACTTGTCATCATGGAAGCTGCAGTATGGGACAGTGTGTCCTGCCAGCTCTCCCTTCTCCACGCCACCAGGGCAAGCAAGCTCTCCCGCACTGTTCCTGCTAGGCCACCTGGTGCTGCCACCGGCAGGGGACAGGGTCCGGTCTCCAGCTCTCATGCCCTCCCATGAGAAGGAGGCCTCACCCACAGCCACACCTCCTGAGCCCACTCCACCCTGCTGCCCAGGCAAGGCCCTGGAACCGCCCTCCCGAGTGCTGCAGCCTGCAAGGGGCAGGGCCGGCCCTCCCGCTCTCATACCCTCTGGGCTGGCTCACCTGTGCCTCTGCCATCAGGGCCAGTGAGGTGCAGAGCCCGCTCTTCTGAGTGCTACAGCCGGTGAGGGGGTAGGGCTAGCCATCTGGCTCTCATGCCCTTGGGGCCAGCTCTTCCCATTACTGCAGGTGTCAAGAGGGAGCGAGCGGGGTGGGGGGGCATCACCCCACACTCACACCACCTCACAGCAGGCAGAGGAGCGGTGGGCTGGCTCTCCCAGGCTCTTGCCCCTGGGACTGGCTCACCTGCACCACCTTCACCAGGGCCAACTCTGCTGCGCTGTCCAGGCAAGGCACAGGGTCCACGCTTGCAAACACTGTAGCGGCTGAGGGGCAAGGCCAGCTCACCTACTCTCATGGCCCCAGAGCCAGCTCTCCTGACTGTCTCAGGTGGTGAGGGGAGCGGGACTGGGGTGGGGCATCACCCCCTCACCCACGGCACCCCACGGCAGACCAGTGCTGGGGCTGGCTCTCCCAAGCTCTCGCCCTTGGAGCCACCTCACACCCCGTCCACCAGGGACAGCTCAACTATGCTGCTCTCTCAAGGTGCAGGGCTGCAGCTGGTGAGAAGTAGGGCCAGCTCTCCAGAGTACAGCAGCCAGTGAGGGCCAGGACCAGTTCTGCACAATCTCTGGGCATCCACCTGGTCCCTGGTGGCTGTCCCGACCAGGGATATGCCCTGTTCTCTAGTGATGATCTGAGCCATGGGCATTAACCGTGACCCATGCCGCTGCATAGCCATGGACTCAGACACGGCCCTCAGCGGCAGCTGAAGCTGGGACCTCACCATGCCCCAAGTGGCAGGGTTGGCCACTCACAACAGGCTGCTTTTCTGCACCCTTGGGTCTCCAGTTGTATCTCTCTTCACAGTGCTCAAGCTCCTCCCCTTCTCTTTCCCATCTGACCACCACACACATGCGCCACACGGCTGGCGGGCCCCTGAGTGACATCCTCCTCCTGTGCCGCTGCATGGCCAGGCAGCAGACAAGTGTGTGCGGCCCACCTGTGCCGTGTGCCAGGGCAGGTCTGTGGGTGGTGTGGCAGTCCACAGGTCTTCCTTCTCCTGCGCTGTGCTGTCTGGATTTGCTTTGCTTGCTTTTTGTGAGTCCTAGGCGTGAAATAGCTCTGGCCACCAAGCCAGGCATCAGGCTAGAATGACAAAGGACTGCCTTCTGCTCTGCTCCTGACTGGTATAAGAACACCACCACCACCAAGGTGTCTCTGCCCATTGCCAGGGGTTCCCTGTGGGAACCGGGATTCAGGAGGGGGTGAAGGAGGCGGAGTCATGAACCCAGGACACAGACTCTGGAGACCAACATGGAGGTGCGGATCTATTTTATTGAGCAGCAGCAACCATTTTTATACTTCCTTTGGACCAATGGGGAATAGACAGGACCTCTGGAGTATCCAGCTACCCCACTGGCACTATGGGGAGATGCCAAGCCGCCAGCACCAGAGGGAACCTCCTTGAAGATGGGGGAAGCAGCCACAGGACCTTCTATTTTGTGTCACCCAGTCAGTGTGCCAGTGGTGTGGGAGCCTTTCCCATGGTCCACCGGGCCCCACTTGGGGGCTGCAGCACCCACAGTTCCCCAGTTTTCTTTTAAATTCAGTCCTCCAAGTAGAAGCGGTCGGTAGCAACAGATTAATCTGCAATTTTAGGTTGTAAGGCATTTCCAACACATGCAAAAATTAGGGAGACAGGTATTCCCGTAACCCTGTCCCAACAGTTCGTCACCAAACCGTTTGCTCTACCAGCTCCTCTGGTATCCTGAAGCAAATCCCAGAAACTATATTCCCAGAGCTTCTGGCATGCCATACGCACGCTCTGTCGCTGAGCTGCACTCCCAGCCTAGACATTATAGCCTTTAACTGTAAATATTTCTGTGTACACCACTAAAAGAAAAAAAAAAATGTTTGTAGACTAAAAATACCATCACTGCACCTTTAAAAACAAACAACACATTCGTTTTTTTCAATAGCTAATCAGCATTTAACTTTCTAATTCATACATGTCATCTGTAATTTGCTCCATGGTTAGTTTGGTGGTCTGAATTGGAGTGTCAAAATTTCTGGCATGGCAGTTAGTTGCCCTTGAACCAAGGCCTGGATGAGGGCCATTTTCAGGGACCTCTAGAGCCATTTCCCACCGTCTTTATGTGGGAAGCACTCTGTCCATCAGCCCAACCCTGTTGTTTCTGAGTTCCGGCACCACCTTTGCCCATGCTGTGGCTCTTTGCAGCCCACCTTCTTTAGTCCTTAGCCGTGGACCTCCTGCCGGCCTTTCAGGCTCCGCTACAATGCCTCCTCCTCAGAGCTGAAGGGACCTCATTACTCATCCGTCTTCTGTCCGTCTATTTACCATCCATCCTACCACCTTTCTCTCCAGCAAACCTTGATTAGGTACCTACCGTTTGCAAGTTCAGGGCTAGTTCTTGGGGATACAAGATGGCCTTGCCTGACAAGAACTGGCAGCCCAGCACTGTGCTGTCCTATCTGGTAGCCATGTGTAGCTGTTTAGCACTTACAACGTGGCCAGTTTAAATGAACACGTGCTATATATCTCTGCTATACATCCACTACAGACAACTAACATGATGAGTGAAGCGTTCTATTAATTTTAAAAAAATCTCTTAAATCTGTCCATTTATTTTCCTGTGTGCAGGTGTTTTGCCCACATGCATGTCTGTACTCGGTGCCCTCAGAGGCCGGAGGAGGACATCAGCTTGTCTGAGGCTGGAGTTACAGATGTCTGCTCTGTGTGGATGTGGAATCAACCATGGTCCTCTGGAAGAGCAGGAAGCGCTCTTAACCCTGAGCCGTCTCTGGCTCCCTATGAATGTTTTTTTTTTAATAACCTTTATTACAAATAACTAGAAAAGTAAATAACATCACACAATAACTAACCACACTCAAAGTCTATACATCCCAACAGATTTCTGCACACTTAAAATAGCCATTCGGAAGCTATGACACTTCACACTGGATTTCAAACTTTCACTGTTGAATATATTTTTATGTACTTGTCTATCAGAAAAAGTGAAAATTTCATGACAGCATTAGAACTGGAAAAGCAATGAGTGATTTTCAGCTGGGGATACATTGAAATGTTATATTCTCCATGTACTTAAATTTGATAACATGATTAAAGTAAATGCAAATGAGGTTTTTCTTTTTAGACAGAGCTTCTGAAACTTTTAATTAGCTATGTGGCTTGCATCGGTGGCTCACCTTTTATATCTGCTGAGCTGGTCTTCCGACAGGCTACCGGGATGAACCTGGATGGGGAAAAGTGAGTCAACAGGACTCATCACGTGTTTATGAAAGTGTAGGGCACAGGGGAGGATTTTTTTTTCAGTGCGTGGGGCCATGAGAAGGAAGAAGGACGTCATTCTAAAGTGTGTCACTCACTGTTCTGGGCACTATAAATACCCCCTTGTGTGATGGTAGGCATTTTAACATCTTCACACATTGGCTTGGCGCTTTAAATACCTCATGTAATCCTTGCCGCAGCAATCTCAGCCATCTGACCTTGACTTTCCAGCCTGCCTCTTGGCTGCATGGTTTGCTGTGGCTGCCGCCATTCAGAACTCTCCTCCCAGCCTCTTTCATCTCCTACCTATGGCCAGATGATCTCGATAAACCACAAACTTGACTGTGTTACTCCTCAAATTAAACTTCTCTCGCAGTTCCCCTGCTGTCTTCCTCCTTGCGGTACATAGATAAGATCTGACCCCAGCCTAACTACCTCCTGAGTTTTTCATCTCCCACCTTTTCAGAAAGAATGCCTTCTTTCTTCGTCTGGTTAACCTTTTATTCTTTGGGTTATAGCTTCAATATTACTTCCACTAAATCAATTTCCAGGGCTGTTTCTCTGCCCCTATTGTAAAAGTATGGACTTTCTATGCCTACCCTTGCTCTGAATAATGACACAGAGACGTTTATATGTATTAAAAGCTTAATACATACCACCGTAGCTGGGCAGATACTCAGCTGTTCTAACCCAACTGTTCTGGCCTGGCCTACTTCCTTGGCCTACTTCCCGACACGTAGCCCATTACCTGCCATCTTAGTCTCATCCTGGCGCCTGCTTCTTCATCCGTGTTCCGATGGCTACACACTCTCTCTCTAGGACCCTACCTGAGACCCTCCCACAGGGCAGACAAGTCCCGCCTTATCCTCTTCTGCCCAGTTACTGGCTCTTCAGCTCTTTATTTAACCAATCAGAAGGTGATGGAGAACAGTGTTTACAGAATACTAAGACAGGAAATGCTTCATATCAGTGGCCATGCTAAAGTCTGGTTGTAATCAGATCAGCACCCTGGCACCGAAATCGGCATTTGAATACACAGGGCACAAAATCACTCCAGCACCCTATTCTGAGTTCATTTCTTTACCCCTCACCCTTGGATCCTGATGCCTAAATCAGTAAAACACACTTCTAGATTCATCTGTGAGGCCTCTTTCAGAGAAAACTGACGTGGGTAAACCTGAGGGAAAGTACCCATCTTGGGAAGGGGGCATAGTTCAACAGGCTAGGGTCCCAAATGGGACAAAGATGGGAGGAATGGACTAGCCAGCTCACACACTCTATACTCTTCCTAATCAAGATTATTTACTCCGGCTGCCGTCATCTGTGCACACCAGGCTGGACTCAGGCCAGCAGCTCTCCAGAGCTCTTTCAGGACTTTAGCCACAGATGGGCACGGCATCGTGGTCCCTCGTGCTCTGAAGCTTCATGTTGGGTTCTCTCAGTCTCCGGCATGAAGATGGCTGCCCCTGGAGTGCTCAGTTTCTGATAACATAAGGTTATAAATTGCTCCCTTTTATAAGTCTATCAGTTCTGTTCCCCTAGAGATCTCTAAGCCATGAACATACTAGGTTGAATGCTTGCAACCCTTTTAAATCAGAGGCCTTTATGGGAACCTGCTATTAAAACCTACAGATCTCAAGCCGGGTGCAGTGACGCATGCCTGTGAGGCCTGTACTGGTGCGGGGGTGGGGGGGGGTGTCAGAGGCAGGCAGATCTCTGTGAGTTCGAGGCTACACAGAGAAACCCTGTCTTGAAAATCAAACGAACAAATGAAGATAATTTCTGCCCCCAAAACCCCTTCAGCTCCCCCGGGGGTTGGGGGGCACACAATAAAATCTGCACACAATTTCAGAATCCTTAAAAAACCAAACTCCTATTACAATTGTTCACACACACCCCCCCCCATATTTCCCACTGGATTGCAATCTCCTTAAGGGCAGGGACCATGTTTGTGTAATTACTGTTGCCTCTTCAGCACTTGGCATCGGCCCTAGGTACAAAAGACAATCACTAACAGTTGCCATGGGTACAGCTTGCTACATTAAGGTCAAGGATTATTAAGTCTCTGTTTTCTTCCTTATTTGTCTTTGAGTGCTGGGTCTTGACCCCGGGTCCAATGCTTTCTAAGCACACCCTGAGCTCCACTCCCAGCCTCAGGTTTCATAAATCAAGTACTATACGACTTAGCCAGGTTCCATGTGGTTGATAGGAAACCTTAAATTAGTAATTTTCAGGACTTTCTTCTTGTGGATTTTCTCAGAACCAAGAGGAACCTTAGGGAACCTAAGAAAATTCTGGAAGTTTCTTCTTTCTTAGTTCATTGGAGTTGACTGTTTTGTCATTACACTTTCTGTTAAAATCTCTTGTGAACCAGTGTTCAATTTTACCTTGGTCCTGACCCTTTTACTTTGGTCAGGCAACACCGGAAGACTGAGGAGTAGAAGTCATGGTGTGTGTGCCTCAAGCCCCCACCCCATTTCTACAAATTCTGTTTGTAGGGTGGACTTCTCGGTACTGCCTACAGACTCCTCCCACCCCAAACTTTCCACTACCTCAGCGCTGTCACAGGCACATCTCAGAAACAGCTCCTCATGTCTCTGCGAGGGTTTGGCATGAGCCCTGTACCCTTCCTCAGCAAGCAACCAGGGGCCTGAAAACCTAAAAAACATACATTAACGAGGCCTGGGATGTAGCTCAGCGGAAGAGCACTTATTTAACACACTCAAGGTCCTCAGTAAGATCTCAACACTGAAAAAGAAAAATAACAAAACAAGACAAACAAACTATAGTCACAACCAGACAAGTAAATTCAATAGTAAGTCAGGTCAGGGGTAAAAGATGGTGTGGAAGGGTGGTGACAGGGACATCCCAAGTGATATGTGCTTTGTCTAAAAATGAGCAATAGCCATGACACCAACAAATGGTTT